TATATATTGCTTAATTGTTAAACTTAGCCCTCATTAGATCTGTGTCATTATTATGACAAATGAGGGATTGTTAAGCAAGAAAGGCAAAGTAGCTCTATTCTGATTATAGCCTTCATTGATCTGTTCTTTAAGAAACTCTTGCAAAGAGTTGTATATTTCTTTTTATGTATCCACAAGATAGAAATCTCAAGGATCAATGAATTAATTTCTTTCTCCAGGCATAGAACCTTAGATAAATTTAGAGAGGCCTAAATGAGGAGTTGAGTTGTGTCAGCTGCTAAAGCGGTTGACTGTGAACAAATCCAGACTTCATATTTCTCCCCACTCTGTTTTTCATTTTCTGTTGCCTCCTCTCTCTGTGAGACACTCTTGACCGAATCCGGTAAACTCTAATTAATCATCTTAGTAAACTCTGTTTCCGGCCATGTGAGCAATGTCAGTGCCACCAGATCTGTTCCAGGAAGGTCAAATTAGCATCTTTTACTATTTTCTTGGCATTTAAATGAATGACTTTTCTTATGGTTTTCCAAGTGTTTATAGTAAATATGTCCTCCTGATGGAAATATAAATATGCATTCATTGTAACTGGCTGAGCACACCCTCCTGTCACTTTTTATTCTAATCAGTGTCTTTCACTTTCCATTGTTTTTAATAGGGACTATCTGACAACCGTACATTAACACCACAGGGGCTCAAAAGATAAACCCCTCAGCACCCGCTTTTATCTTGCTAACTACTTGTGTTTCTCTCTCCTGTGCCAATTACACCCATTCTGACATTTGCACTTACTTGTGCGCTTAGGGAGTGAATGACTGGCTGGTTCAGTTTGAGACCCCGTCTGGGAACACTGACTGCACTCACTTGAGCTGATGTCCGCAGGGGCTGGGTGGCTGGCCCTGTTCTTGCTAGTGGTTTTGACTTTGACAGGTAAGGTACCTAAGCCCCAAAGAAGGGAGATGTGCACTGTGTGACCCTGAAATTCTCAAGACTTTGTGAGCAGAAATTCCTGATGTTTTCTGTAATGAGTTCATAAAATTGTTTGAAAATTCCCAAGTTAATTATGCACTATTAGAGCTTTATTTTTATTATTATGAAACTGTTCATGGAAACCTACTATTTTGGGACAGCGTTGATGGTTTTTGGTGAAGTCAGTGGAAGAACTCCTGTAGACTGTAGCATTCCCAGGCCTGTGTGTGCTCTGGCGTACTAGTCAGATGGGAGGGACAAGAGTGAGCGATCTTTTCCTTCTGCCTTTCCCGTGGTTGGGCAGGTGCAAGCCTGGAACCCAGCAGGGTGGTCTCTTTCTGACCCAGTGGGCAGAATTTCAGAATAAATATCCTTTTATGTATTTACTTTTTTACAACACTTTGGATACAACCCAGGGCTTTACACGTGCTAGGCAGGCGCCCCGCCACTAGCTGCCCCCCAGCCCAAGAGTGACGGTTTCGTGAGCACCACTCTCGCCGAGCCCCGCCTGCTGCCACGCACCAGGTGCAAAGTGCTTGACTTCCGGAAACTGCCTGATCGGGCCCAGGCCCGGCCAGCTTTTCTTCCTCTCTGGCTGCCATAGAGCGGTCTCCTGTCCCAGCCCACACAAACATGCCCCAGCCTCTGCATCTATGCTCAGTCCCTGCTCCCTGCCCATCCCCTCCTCCAGGTCCCTCCGCTGCTGCTGTGGTCCACGAGCCCTCTCTTCCCCACCCCTATTGCACATGGATTCCTCAGTACTATGGTGACACTTCCTTTGCCCTTGTGTTGCTCCAAGTTTCTTCTCCGTCTCCTCAAGTAGATTTTAAGCTTTTGCCCCAGCAGGGAGCGTTTCTGAGTCTGCTGAATGCCGTAGCTGAGCAGAGTGCGGTCGCTGTAATCACACTGTCGCTGGCCGTGGTTGTTCAAAGGAAGGACGTTGTCTCAGAGGAAGCAGCAGCCCCACAGTGGCTGCTGTGACCAGATGACTCCTTTGGCGTTGACAGAGGGATGTGAGAGGTTCCGCCACCGCAGACCTCCGTGTCGTGCTCATCCTATGCCGCTTTCAAGTGTGCCATGCTGCGAGCACACTCAGGAAACATGCCCGAGAGATTGAGGTTTGGTCTTCTCTACGGGCAGAGCAGTCCCCCCTGGTTGAGGTGTGATGGGCTGTGAAGGCCTCGGGGTGCCCCTGAGCACCTGTAGCCCAGGAAAACCAGGCCCCTGACCCCCATGGAATCCTAGCGACCCTCCTGGGCCTGGCCAAGTTCTTGCTGGGTTTTGCCCTCTCCTCTCCCTATTCCTGGGCACACTGGTGGTTGGGCCTGTGCGTGTGTCCCTCAAGATTAGTACCATATATGTAAATCCCCAAACTGTTTATTAATTTTGTCATGCGTGCACCTAATTGCATTCTGGATTTCTAGAGGTTAGGAATCCCTTTCCCCTCCTCATGTAGGAATCCAAATATTGTCTGCAAGTGGCATCTTTTGTTCTGCCCTTTCTGAAGCCCTCCTCTTCATAGTGACCCTCCTTTTGGCGTCACCCCTAGTTCTTTTTTAGTCTGCTCCTCAAGTCTGATCCCCAGGTTTTATGGGGTTGAGGGGTGTAAGCTTCCTGAATGTCTTTTACCCTTTGAAATTTCTTTTGTCGACGACCATTCTGAGTCTTGTCCACTAGAGGGCACTGTTGAGATGCACATTCCAACCCCCATCCATTCTTGTACATATTAAAAATTAAAATCCAACTTTGTGTTCAGAGATGCAAACGGTTTGCCTGCTGTTTGGTGCGTCCTGTGGCACAGAACTTGTTGATGCTGCCATTTACATAGGAACAGTTTTATCACATTTATAGTAGATCCTTAGAGAAGGAGGTATGGTTTTCTGTTTGGCTCCTGGAACATATTCAGGTTCTCATGTTCATTTTTTTTTAAGTGGTAGAAATATTTTTTTCTTTTACACACATATAGTATCAGATTTTAATTAAAAAATAACAGTGTAAAGCCAAATGTGGTGGTGAACACCTATAACCCCAGAACTCACAAGTTCAAGGCCAGCCTGGGCTGTACAAGCGAGCTCAAGGCTAGCCTGAACTATGTAGTGGGGCTATGTCTTAAAAATGAAATGAAACAAACAAAAACCTTGTAAAAATTGGGAAAGTGTATTGCACATATTTATTTTGACTATTTTTCTACTGTCATTTTACAGGGAAGAATATTATACATTATTAAGTAAATTAGGCTCTGCATCAGCAGTGAAGCAGCCTTTGGTATTAATATTTAAACTTGAAGCTTTTCTTAATTTTTGAAACTAACTTTACTCCTACAGCAACACCCATTTATAAATATTGAAAACACCTTAAGTAGGACAGCAGTATTTGTCACTTTATGCCCCATTCATGTGGAGGACTGAGCTGTCATCAGCCTTCGGGCAACACATGTAGAGGCTGTCTCTCACTGCGTGCAGACCCTGAATACCTCGCGTTCAGGGCAGACTCTCATTCCAGTGGGTCTCTGTATGAAACTGTTTACTTTTACACTTTAAAAACAAATTTTTGAAAGGTCCTGGGGATTGAATCTGTGTGTACTGAATTATACCCTCAGCCCTTTCCTTACTTTGGTTCTCAGAGAAGGTCCTGCTAAGT